ACCACCAACTTTATCTATGGAGACACTCCTCTAGTCTTCTTCCAATGATGTTCTTATTTTGCTTGCTCCTTAAAAGAAGTTGTCCTTGGTCCCCTTATATATTCTCTCTATGTGCTCTCCCTAAATGGTCTCAACTACATGCATGGCTTCAAGAACTACCCTGATGACTTGCAAGTTTATATTTTCAGTATTTACTTCACTGCTTAACTCCTAAGCCAAATATCCTTCATCTCCATCTGGATATCCCACAAGTATTTCAAATTTCACATGCTCAAGACTGAACTCATCTTCCTACCCATACGCAGACCTCCTCCTTCACCCCATTTGTCCAGGAATGACTCCAATGTCTGTAGTCACCTCACTCTACCCCTGTGGAATCATGCTAGAGCTTTTTCACTTCCTCACCACCACTCCCCTCCCCCCACCAACAAATGCCCACTTTTCCAATTGGCTAACTTGTACTCATTCTTCAAGCTTCATATTGGACACCATTTCTCCAGGAACATTTTCCCAACTCCAAAAGTCTGTGCAAAGTACTCCTCTTACGTGTTCCTACAGCACTTTCTTAGTCCATCTGTGTTGCTATAAAGGAATGCCTGAGGCTGGGTAATTTATAAAGAAAAGATGTTTATTTGGCTCATGGTTCTGCAGGCTATATAGGAAACATGGTGCTGGCATCTGCTTGGTTTCTGGTGACAGCGTCAGGCTGCTTTCACTTGTGGCAGAAGGTGAAAAGGAGCCAACAAGTGCAGAGATCACATGGTGAGAGAGGAATCGAGGTGGGGTGGGGGGAGGAAGTGCTACACTCTTTTTAACAACCAGCTCTTGTAGCAATGAATCGAGTGAGAACTCACTCATTACTGCGAGGATGGCACCAAGCCATTCATGAAGGATCCACCCCATGACCCAAACACCTTTCATTAGACCCTGCCTCCCAACACTGGGTTTCAAATTTCCACGTGAGATTTGGAGGGGTCAAACAAACCAAACGATAACCAGCACCTTGAACTTCCCCCCTCTCATAGCACTTATCACAGTATAGTGTTGTAATTGTCTGGTTCCTCTTCCGAATGTTCCACCAGACCGCATGCAGGGACCTAATCTGTATTTCTCATCGGTGTTGTTTCAATGCTTAACACAATATGCCTGGCACTACCCTTCAATATTTTTTGAAGAATGAGCAAATGAATTATCATGTCTCCAGCTAGGTTTGCCAATATGACTAATATGTAGTGAGTGCCTGCTATGTGCCATTTTACTACCTAAACTTTGTATGGACTCTGTCCCCTAGTCTTATCTACCAACGCCATTGTCTTAGTTGAGATATCTGTCATTTCTTGACTGGCATAATACAGCAGCTTTCTAATTCCAATCTCAGCCCTCTCTGTTCTATTCTCCACACAGCTTTCAGAACGATCGATCTTTCTAGAGGCAAATCAGACCATGTCACTCCCAAGCTGAAAGACCACAGTGGGTTCAGTGTAGCCTACAGGGTATTCTAAAACTTGAGCATGGTATAACAGAACTTCCATATCTTGGAGGTTCTTCAAGCTTGTGCTCATTCTTCAAGCTCCTGCCTACCTCTTTCCCAGCACACCAACCACTACTAGTCCACTGGCATCTTACTCTCCAGCCTTAATGAAGCGATTGCAACTCCCCTCCTCCCACCAGTGCCTTGGCTTCTCTCATCATGCTACAGATTCTTTAACACACACATTGTCCTCCAAGAAGCTTGCCAGATCCATTCCTATTCTTTCAACAAAATGTTTATTGACCATCCTTTATACACCATGACCAAATAGGATTTATCCCACAAACGTAAGGTTGGTTCAACATGTGAAAATCAATTTATACAATAAACCATATTAACAGAATGCATGGTGGTGGGGGGGGGCGGGGAGAAACTCATCGTCATCTTAAATATGTACAAAAGGAGCACTTAACAAAACACAATACCCTTTCATGAAAATAAGTTCAACAAACCAGGAATACAAAGAAACCTCTTCAACCTGATAAAGGGCATCCATGAAAAACCCAGAGATAATATCATATTTAATGGTGAAAGACTGGCTGATTTCCCCCTAAGATCAGGAATGAGAAAAGGATGTCTTCTCTTGCCACTTCTAATTCAACAACATACTCAAAGTTCTAGTCAGGGCAATTAGTCCAGAAAAAGAAATAAAAGGCATCTAGATTGGAAAGGGACAAGTAAAACCATCTCTATTCATAGATGCATAGATGGCATGTTCTTACATAGAGGACACTAAAGACTCCACCAAAAGAAAAAAAAAAAAAACTGAGATGGTTTGACTCTGTGTCCCCAGCCAAATCTCATGTCGAATTATAATCCCTATCTATTGAAGGAGGGGCCTGGTGGGAGGTGATTGAATCATGAGGGCGGACATCCCCCTTGCTATGCTTGTGATAGAGTTCTCACAATATCTGATTGTCTGAAAATGTGCAGCGCTTCCCCCTTTGCACGTGCTCTCTCTCTTCCTCCTGCTCCAACATGTGAAGAATGTGTTTGCTTCCCCTTTGCCTTCCACCGTGATTGTACATTTCCTGAGGCCTCCCCAGGGCAGAAGCCTGTACAGCCTGCAGAACCATGAGGCAATTAAACCTCTTTCTTTATGAATTACCTAGTCTCAGGCAGTTCTTTGTAGCAGTGTGAGAATGCACTAATACACTAACCCTATCTGAGTATGCTCAGCAAGGCGTATTCGGCTCAGCAAAGTTGCAGTATCAATTTGCGGCAATCAGTTGTATTTCTATACCATAGCAATGAGTAACATGAAAATAAGATTAAGGAAATGATTTATTTTACAGTAGCATTGAAACACACTGTAAATGCCGAGGAATAAATTTAACAAAAGGTGTACAAGACATATACTCTGAAAATTACAAGACATTGCTAAAATAAATTAAACAAGACCTAAAAAAAAAACAACTGCAAGGTGTTTTGTGTTAAGGATTGGAGCACATAATATTATTAAGATGCCCATAATCTCCAAGGCAATATACAGATTCATTGTGATGCCAGTCAGAATCCAACTTGCCTTCTTTGTAAAAATTGGCAAGCTAATCCTAAAATTCTTACAAAAATGTAAGGGACCCAGACAGCCAAAACAATCTCGTAAAAGAAAAAATGTGATGGACTCACACTTCCCAATTTCAAAACGTACTACAAAGCTAAACGAATCCAAAAAAAAAAAAAAAAAAAAGTGGTACTGACATTATGATAGATAGATTAGGTCAATGTTACAGAACTCGGGGTCAGAAATAAATCCATATGTTTATATATAGTTCATTTTCAATAAGAGTGCTAGCACCACTCAGTGGGTGGGGGTGGGAGGTGGTGGGGAACAATAATCCCTTTAACAAACTGTGCTAGGACAACTGCATAGCCACATGCAAAAGAATGTCCCGGACCTCTACCTCACACCGTGTAAAAAATTAATTCAAAATGGATCACGGGTGTAAATGTAAGGGCTGAATCTGTAAGACTCTTAGAAGAAAAGAGAGATGTAACTTTCCATGACCTTGGATTAGGCAACAGTTCCTTCAGTATGACACCAAAGGGACAGCCAAAGACATTTTTTTTCATTTGGCAAATTGGACTACATCCAAATTAAAATCCTTTCAGCAACGAAGGGCACTATCCAGAAAGTGAATGGGAGAAACATTTGCAAATCACGTATCTGATAAGAGTCTATTTTCGAGAATATATAAATAAGTTTTAGAACCCCACAGCCAAAATACAATCAACCCAATTAAAAAATGGGCAAAGGGCTTGAGTAGACATTCCCCCAAAGGAGAGGTACAAAGGGAAAAGAAGCACATGAAAAGATGTCTTAGTGTGTTTTCTGTTGCTATAGTTGAATACCTGACACTGAACAAGTTATAAGGAAAAGAAATTTATTTCTTACCGTTTTGGGGACTGGGAAGTGCCTCAGCATCTGATGATGGTAGGGGGTATCACATGGTGAGAGGGCAAGAGCATGTATGTCGCTTCAGGCCTCTTTTCCTATTCTTATAAAGCCACCAGTCCCATTATGGGGGTCTCACCCAGACGACCTTATCTAATCCCAATTACCGTCTCAAAGGCTGTGTCTCCAATCCACATGTGAATTTCGGGATTAAGTTTCCAACACACAGAATTTGAGGGACACATTCAAACCATAGCAACATCATTAGTAATGTGGGAAATGCAAATGAATACCACCATGAGATAGTGCTTCACACCCACTAGGATGGCTATTATAAATGAAAGAAAATGAGGCAAACAGAAAAGAAGTTTTGATGATGTGAAGAAACTGGGACTCTCATGCACTACTGTTGGGAATGCGAAAGATTACAGCTGCTGTGGAAATCAGTTTGGTGGTTCCTAAATAAGTTAAACAGAATTACCATATGAGCCAGCAGGTTGGCTCCTAGAAATAGACCCAAAGGAACTGAAAACAGGTATTCCAACAAAAACTTGTACAGAGATGGTCATGGCAGTGCTATTCACAATAGCCAGAGGGGGGAATAACTTGTCTATCAACTGATGAGTGGATAAACAAAATGTGGCCTGTTTATACAACGGAATATTATTCAGCCATTCAAAGGAAGGAAGAACTGATTCATGCCTCTACATGGATGAACCCTGATGAACACATTATGCTAAGTGAAAGCAGCCAGACACACAAGGCCTGCCATTCGGTTGCATGATTCCATCTACAGGAAATCTCCAAAACACGCAAACCTCTATGGACAGAAAGCAGATTGGTTAGTGGTTGCCAGGGGCTATCGGGAACATGTGTATGTGGCGGGGGCAGCGGTGTGGAAGGAGGCGTGTGGGAAGTGACTGCTTACAGGTACAGGGGTTTCCATGTCTTTTCCGGGTGTTGAAAATGTTTTGAAACCAGGTGGTTGCGATGGGCGTGCAACATTTCAAAGGAGCCGTACCCAGCATCCTCCCCGGGGCCGCCCGTTTGTCTTTCTCCCATCCAGTAGAAAGGGAGAGTTCCCCCACTGGCGAAGAGAGGGTCACCAGCTGGATTCCCCCTCCCCGCCCCACTCCACCCCGACCCCCACGGGCCTCCAGCTGCTTCCAGGCGGAGGCCTGCTCCCTCGGGGCCAATAGGAAGGCCATAAGGTCACCTGATGGGCGTGCCCTCCAGCCACTTCTCCGCCCAGGCCTGCTCCCTGCAGGCCAATGGGAAGGCGATGAGATCACCTGATGGGCGTGCCCTCTAGCCGCTTCCAGGCCGAGGCCTGCTCCCTCGGGGCCAATGGGAAGGCCATAAGGTCACCTGATGGGCGTGCCCTCCAGCCACTTCTCCGCCCAGGCCTTCTCCCTGCAGGCCAATGGGAAGGTGATGAGGTCACCTGATGGGCATGCCCTCCAGCCGCTTCCAGGCCGAGGCCTGCTCCTTCGGGGCCAATGGGAAGGCGATGAAGTCACGTGACGGGCGTGTCCCTGGTGAGGCCGTAGCCACGTGCGAGCGAGGCGGTTACCGTGTGGTGACGTGGTGGCACGAGGATGTACGTGCCCAACGGACTGGGCTCCCCAGCCAGTGAGGGGCTGGGCCCTCGTCGCTAGGATACACGGTACTGGACGCCATAACGGTCATCTTGAGAGGCATCTCGTAGCTCTAGAGCAAGCCGAGCCGAGATCGCGCACTCAACACCCAGCATGTCGGAGAGGAGGAGCCGTCGAGGGTCCTCTGGTGCTGGCGGCCGGAGGCACACCCGCTCTCGCACCGCCCGAGCGGAGGTTTTGTTTTCTGTGAGCCAAGTGGAGCGTAGTCTACGGGAAGGCCACTACGCCCAGCGCCTGAGTCCCTGTGCGCCAGTCCACCTCGCTGTCGTGATTGAGTCCCTCACGGCCCAGATCCTGGAGCTGGCGGGCAAGGAGGCCCACAACAGCGGAGACACGACCATCACTCCGCAGCTGCTGCACATGCCGGTTCACAACAACGCGCTGCTGAGCACCCTCTTTGACACAACCACCATCTCTCAAGTGGTTCCCGGCCGGGACTAGCTGCTGACGACGCCCGACTTCTGGGACCCGGCAGGTCCACTCGTCCACCTACCCAGCCCCAAATCCCCCAGCCCCCAAACCACACCCCCACCCCCACTTTCCACCGGCCCCAAAGTCTCTTGGGCCTTCATTCATTCATTGTGTCAGTAAAGTGTTTAATGGAACCCACCTGCCTGTTTCAGTCACTTTGCCTTGGCGGGGAGGGGATATGGGGTGGGGTGGGGCGTTAAGAGACCTCCATAGCTGGAGGGATGGACAGGTAGTGGGGGTCTGGGGTTGGGTGGGAGTCAGGGATGGCACGGAGGAGCAGTCTCCCCCGGTGACAGTGCAGGGGGCGGGGGGTGGGGGGTGGATGGCTCTGGGTGGGAAGGGGGCACCCCGGCTGGTTCTGAGCAAGTCAGGAGGGCCTGCCCGCGAAAGTCCTCAGCATGATGGTGTTCGTTGGGGCGGGTGGGCCTCAAGACCGTGACTGTAGTGTTGCCACAGGACGGACTTCCACAGGCAGCCAGGGTGGGGACGGTGAGGTGGACCCGGCGGCTGGCCTGGGGCCCTGGACAGGAAGATGGAGGAGTGAGTGGTGGTGGTGGTGGGGAACAGTCCAGAAATGCACAGTCACCGAATTAGGGTCACGAGTGTAGTCTGGGTCGTGTTCAGATGGAGAGGCTCTGGGATGCCTTTAGCAAAGGGCACCATTTGCGCTGCAGCCAGGCTATCAGCAGCCGGCACCCGGCCGGGCCCCGCGAGCCGATCCGCGTCCCCGAGACCCTCGATTCGCATACGCCGCGGCATTCCGGCCGGGCCCCGCCAGGCCCCGCCTCCGATTCCGCTCTTTGCAGATCAACAGGGCAAGGGGCGGGCTCGGGCCGGGGAGCCAGCCGGCGCGGACACGCCGGCAGCCCGCCAAGGGGGACGCACGGCGCGTCTCTCCGCCACGCACGCCAGCGTCCGGAAGTGCTTGCGGCGGCGAACATGGCGGCGGCGGCGGCCGGCCTCGGTGGGGGCGGCGGCGCCGGCGCGGGACCCGAGGCCGGGGACTTCCTGGCCCGCTACCGGCTGGTATCGAACAAGCTGAAGAAGCGGTTTCTGCGGAAGCCGAACGTCGCGGAGGCCGGCGAGCAGTTCGGACAGCTGGGCCGTGAGTTGCGCGCCCAGGAGTGTCTGCCGTACGCGGCCTGGTGCCAGCTGGCGGTGGCGCGCTGCCAGCAGGCGCTCTTCCACGGGCCCGGGGAGGCGCTGGCCCTCACCGAGGCCGCCCGCCTCTTCCTGCGGCAGGAGCGCGACGCGCGCCAGCGCCTGGTCTGCCCCGCCGCCTACGGGGAGCCGCTGCAGGCCGCCGCCAGCGCCCTGGGCGCCGCGGTGCGCCTGCACCTGGAGCTGGGCCAGCCGGCCGCAGCCGCCGCCCTCTGCCTCGAGCTGGCCGCCGCCCTGCGCGACCTGGGCCAGCCGGCCGCCGCCGCCGGTCACTTCCAGCGCGCCGCCCAGCTCCAGCTGCCCCAGCTGCCCCTGGCCGCGATGCAGGCGCTCGGCGAGGCGGCCTCCTGCCAGCTGCTGGCGCGCGATTATACCGGCGCCCTGGCGCTCTTCACGCGCATGCAGCGCCTGGCGCGGGAGCACGGCAGCCACCCGGTGCAGCCGCTGCCGCCGCCCCCGCCGGCGGGACCGCAGCCCGGGCCCGGGCCCGGGGCGACGGCCGCCCTACCGGCCGCGCCGCTTGCTCCAAACGCCGGCTCCGCGGCGCCCTCTCCCGCCGCCCTGGGCGCCTTCTCGGACCTGCTGGTCCGCTGCGAGGTGTCCCGCGTTCTGCTGCTGCTGCTCCTGCAACCGCCGCCCGCCAAGCTGCTGCCGGAGCACGCCCAGACCCTGGAGAAGTACTCCTGGGAGGCTTTTGACAGCCACGGGCAGGAGAGCAGCGGCCAGCTTCCCGAGGAGCTCTTTCTGCTGCTCCAGTCTTTGGTCATGGCTACCCACGAAAAGGACACGGAAGCCATCAAGTCGCTGCAGGTGGAGATGTGGCCTCTGTTGACTGCTGAGCAGAACCACCTCCTTCATCTCGTTCTGCAAGAAACCATCTCCCCCTCAGGACAGGGGATCTGACCCATCCCGTTCACCCGATGGCTTTTTGCCCGGACGGGGTGGGGTTTCCCATCAGTCCCGTTAACCAGATGACTTTTTGCCTGTTACCGAACCTCACGCATCCAAGTTTGCGTCCGCGGAGGCTTAAAAAGACATACCGTCCCGGCCTCTGCGTTTTATGTTATTCCCGTTGCCGCCACAGGAATTACCTCGTTGACTGAGCGTTACCGGCATCCCGTAGCAGAGGGAGAGCAACACATTTTCATGGAACCTGAGTAGAGGACATGGCTCTCTTCCAAAAAGCTGCGACACGAAAATGACAGTCCCTTTCATCTCCTTCCTCTGCTTCTTCAACCCAACGCAGCCTCGTGCCTCCACCTTTGTTTCATAGTGAGGATTTCATTTAGCGGCGGCCCCCTCCCTCTAAACACCCGCCGCAGATGATTTCGTCCTGCCCCTCATTTCTTAACGTATTTCTGTGTCTGTGTCATGGCCAAATTTCTCCTGCCACTCGTCCGCACAGTACATCTTCATGGGAGTCATTTTATTCCTTCCAGCTTCCTTGTAGCCACAGCCCTGGATCCATGATAAAGCCGCTCTTGTACTCCTGACGTGTGGTTTTGGTGTCCCTCGTCTGTAAAATGTGACTCCGTTACCTACTTGTCAGGAGGCCAGAATTAGAACCAGATAGCCCTCTTTGGGCTCCAGCATGTATTCGTTCCTTTGAAATCTGAGCTATGCCTCCTATGTGGGCCATGCCTCAGGGCAAGGAACCTGCAGAGGTCATCTGTGATGTGCTCCTTACTCAGATGACTGCGATGCAAATGTGTCCAGTGCAGTGGGTCCGGTACCGATGCATCGATTTGCATTGGAATTCACGGTTCCGGTTCTATTCCCAGAGGTATATGCAGTCTGCATCACAACTTGTATTTGTAATAGGGATTTTTTTTTTTTTTTTTTTTTTTGGTGGGGGAGTAGGAGGTAATGGGGGCGGATGGAGTCTCACTCTGTTTCCCAGGCTGTAGTGCAGTAGCACGATCTTGGATCACTACAGCCTCCACCTCCTGGGTTCAAGCGATTCTCCTACCTCAGCCTCCCGAGTATCTGGGATTACAGGGGCACCCCACCACGCCGGGCTAATTTTTGTATTTTTAGGAGAGACGGGGTCTCACCATGCTGGTCTCTCCAACTACTGACCTCAAATGATCCACCCGCCTCGGCCTCCCAAAGTGCTGGGATTACAGGCATGAGTCACCGCCCAGCCTGTAATAGGGATTTTGCTGCAACTTTTAGTTAAGTGGTGAAATCAGAGAGCATGGCTCTTTGGTGTTGTGCGGTCACTGAGTGCAAGGCAGCCTCCTTGTTCCCCAAAAGCAGGATGGCGTTCCATTTGAAAACAGTTACCGTTTCCCAGGCTTTCTGGCTCAAACAGAGCATGCAACCCAACTAAGCTGTTTTCCTACTTACTGCGTCATTTTTACCCTTTTGAGGGTGACACAAGAACTCTTCAGAATATAGATAGCCTCTTTCTCAAACTTTCAACCCTGGGGAAATGCATCCTTTCAGCCGAAGTTGCACACAATACTGATCTGCAGGGCTGAGATGTAAGGACACAGTTTGGAAGAGATGGTTTTGTTTTAGTCTTTTTGCAGGGGAGAGATGTGGAGGGTTGTCACTGTGAGTTAAGTGCCTCAAAACGGGTGGGACTTGTAGGGTGTTCTTTTCTGCTTCTATTTCTGTTTCAACAGTGTGGAAGTAATGGGAAGCACAGGAGAGGCCCATTCCACCACCATTCCTCTCACTCTCATTTGGCTGCCAGGAAGGGTCCTACAGAGCCCCTAAACACCTAGCACAAATTATTGTAAAAGAGGTTGAAGGGTGTATACTCCTTTGCTCTTTGGCTTCTTCCTGATGTGCTCCTCTTAACCCAGGCTTCAGACGTGGCCGACTGGCTTATTGTCAGGTTTGGGAGTTATGGAGCATGACGGGTGACCAGTTTTGGATATGGGCTTCAGGAGAAGCCTTCTTAGGCCTCTGGTTCAAACTCCTTGCATCAAGGAGGTGAGGGGAAGAATAACCAGACGGTTAGGTACTGGGCATCTGAGCATAATTCTAGGAAACACTAAAACTCCTCATTTTCCGTTTGCCATGGGCTCATTCATATATCTCCCTCAGAAACTTGAGAGCAGGGATAGCTGGCCTGAGGCCAGATTTCAGCATTTTTGAGAATTCTCTTGTAATGCATCACTTTAATATCAAAAGCCAACGCTGATTTCTAGCATGGCAAAAGCAAATATTTTCAGAGGACATGATTAGTTTGCTTTTTAACTCGATAACCGGTTGTGGGGGTGGGTGGCGGGGGGGCGGGGGAGGCAGAAGATCCTTGTCATTTAAATGTCTGTCGACAATTCCAAAATTCACATTTAAAACACTGTAAACCGTCGGGAATGCTGCCAGTGAAGTAGTGACCCTTTAAGGGTGTTGGGGCTCCCCTTCTCCCCAGTATGAGGGAATCCTAAAAGGGGAAATGTTGCTTATCAAAGAATATTTTATACGTGAATGACACAAAGGCATAAGGACGTGTGAGAACCACTACGCCAGAGGAAGGTGACCTCCTGATCAGCACATTCCAAAGATACATAGGAAGAGTGTGCTTTCCAGGGGTTGTACAGTCACGCACTGCTTCCCTTGGCTGGGGGTGGGGGTTCCCTCAGCTCAGTGTCACTCCTGAGTGGGCCATTTCACCAACCTGCTTATCTTCATTCTCCATGGGTCAAGTTGTCCTAATCAGTCCCAGTGCAAAAACCTGGATATTTCAGTCGAAGGTGCTGTATTCATGTGCCTCTTTCAGTCCTCTCAGTGAGCACTGTGGACCACAGCTGCTTCTAATTAGCCATCTTGGCCCCTCTGACAAAGGACTCTTAGAAGACCTCAGGGCAGGGGTTAAAAACATGTTGAGCTATGTTTAAATACTAGTTTTACTACTCACTCTCTAGT